ATCACCCCCCTGCCTACTTCGTATATAAGCAGCACCTTCCACATCCTATCACCACAGCTACTGCTCTCCGCAGCTATTGAACTGCTCTGAAGTTGGAGGCGCTACGTTCCTCCGAAACGTCGGCCAAAACAAAGAATACACGGTGCCTAAACCCAGAAGACAACTTTCTTCATTGTCATCGCCGTGAAAACCTCAAAACTTACAACGACTAATATAATTATATCTGCCCTTTTGTGATTGCAATAGCAATTTTGTACACCCCCCATCCATGCTGCATTCAAGCCTGCAAGTTGGTCACTAAGCAGTGTGACATGTAACCTTCCAAGGGAAGAAAGAAACCCTTGTTCAGTTATAGGCCAGAATGACAAGCTGTAAAATTATGCAAGCAACAGAATCAGAAGATGTACAGTCTACTGCAAATCATTGTAAAGCACCACTGATATATCACTGAAACATTTGTAATGGGTTATAAAAGTAATTTTGTTCATCCTGGTCCATCACACTAGTAACTGTATGTAAGGGTTTTAACCACTGGCCAGTGTGATTGATAAAAGTTGTTTTTAATTTTTCATCCTTTACATGTTCCAATCAAAATGACCATCTTCAGAAGGATATTATCAACACATACAGAAACTATTATTAGATGTCATAGCTATATATATAATAAATTTTTTACTGATATTGAGATGTACATTGATTTGTTAAAGAATCTAAAAATTATTACATTTAGTCTGTTTACAAAGTAATGTTCAATATTTGTTTTAATCTAGAACCAATTTGGTTCATGTTGTTACACTTCTGTAATAATTTTAGATGTTTTAACAAATCAATGTACAGTTCAGCATTAGTTAAAAGACATGTAACAGTAGATTCCATGTGTTGATAATATCCTTCTGAAGATGGTCGTTTTGACTGAAACATGTAAAGGATGAAAAATTAAAAACAGCTTTTATTATTTACAGTGGACAGTGGTTACAAATCTTATATATGGTTATAAAAGTCCTGTGTTTAATCCACATGCAGATGGTCAAGAGTCTTCTGTAGGTATACAAAAACTCAAAAGACACATAGACTCCGCCAATAATTTCAGGTCATGAAACTGTGTAAGACTGATCTTAAGGCATCTTCTTGGAGGTGGCGATAATGATTTGAACCAAAAATGAATATATAAGTCAATGCGGAACATTATGTGAAGTCTGAATTGTAATCCTGATGCATTGCTAATCTTCACTTATGAAGGTACAAAGACAGATTACACGTGTTCCCAAACTTACATTTTTCTTGATATCAGGAATGTATAACTGTAAGTTGACAACCTCAGTCACATATATTCCAGCCACCTAATTATTTAAGACAGTTTCAGTATGTTTTAGTCTTTGTTAATAGAAATTAACTTGAAATCACATTATTACAAAAGTTGTTACATTTGTGTATTTCATCATGAAACAGGGATTATAATTTAAAACATGTACACCTACTCCATTAGGTGCATGCAGAATATGTTGTTCAGTTAGCGTGGTTACTTGCAAGGTTGGAATTATGTGTGGAGTTGATTTTAGTTTGTAACATTCTCACTCAGAGCAGTCTGCTTATGGTAATTGATGGTCAGCACTATCTGTCCTTACCATAGGTAATTAATTTTTCAGTAAATGGTTTTCAAACAAAAGGTATGACACTCCTATCAAAAGAAACTGAAGATTTTGTTTCTTTATTGGTCAGTATCCTGTTGAGAAAGATACAATAAAATAGTTTTACTTGGTGTAGTATTTAAATGTATATCATCTTTAGGAAAAATGATATAAAAATGCTTAAATTTCATGATATATTTGTATGCACTCAAAGTTTCACTGTAAACTTGAGGTGGCCACATGCAGTTGGAGCCCATGCAGGGCCACTGAAGCGTCAGGCCGATAGCTTTAGATGGTTGCAATGGTAGACTTGCCATTTCTTATTAATTTGTGCAGATTTCCTAACAGACTCACTACTGTGATGAAGACTTGTTCAAACAACACTCTGAGAAATTGATTTCATTATGTAATGTAATTCATCTGCACTGATCACAATTCAGTTTAATCAGTACAGCACAATTACTGTAGTGTGCCCATATTTCTTGTTCATAAATGGAAGTACAGTCATCTACAAACACCAGTGTTACATGTGAGATATGAGATACTCACCGCAGTGATCATGATGAAGTTGGGAGTGACGCTGTGTAGGTGGGTAGGAGTCCGCCAACATTTTGGAGGAACGTACTGCCACCTTCATAAGGGTAGATTTCTGCTCCATACATTCTATCACATCCTGACTTTTCAGCAGTAATTGAGGCTAAGTCTTCTGAAATGTAATGCTCTGTAATTTGTTTTTACCAGCACTGCAGACAAATATACTTCCTCCATCTTCAGGATGGAAAATTGAAGCTGAAGGCACTGTGTTCCTCTGAAATGTCATTAAACTTCTAACAACCTACACAGTATCATATCCCATATCATCAGCCAAATGAAACTGCTGTTTGTGGATGACCTGATTTCATATTGTGACTGCAAACACAACATGATGCTTCAAAGGGTATTATTCATGAATGGGAACAGGTCAAACAGCTGTACATACGTAATCTAAATGTCTGATATTTTGAGTCATCCTAAAGATGGAGGCACACATTCCAACAAAATGTTAGTATCCACCTATCAGACTGCAGCGTGGTGTGTTTCATCAGAACCCTGGTATCCGTCTGCCAGACTACAACACAGTGTTATAGCACACAACGTCCCCACCAAGGAACTTGATTATACAGCTTTCCAGTTTTGCCAGGAAAGTTACGTCAAGAACTTGTAGCTCAGATGGGGAAACACAAATACTTTTTAATTTTGTGCATCCTGTTGTGTTATTGTATACAATTCTTTACTGGAGTCTGTCAAAACACAACAACATAACGGTCAAGGTTAAAATTACCTAGCCAAATGTTCCGACTTTTTAATGCCATCGTCAAGCAAAGCACATGATTACTAATTGTGTCTGAATATAGTAATCATGTGTTTTGCCTGATGATGGCTTTAAATAGCCGAAACATGTAGTTGTGTAATTTTAACCTTGACCGTTATGTTGTTGTGTTACGACGGACTCCAATAAAGAATTGAACACAAATGTATACAATATTTTTGTTGGAACATGCTGGAAAGCATCCACTTGGCAAATCAAAAGTGGTGGAAGGAAGATATCAAACCAGATCTTGACAAAACTGGGTATAAGACTGGATCATGATGTGTCCACTGGTGGGCTTTGGTATTAGCAACATTCATCATGGAAGGGTATGCTGAAAAGTGATGCCTCCATAAGACAGTGGCGAAAATGTAGTTCTTACAGAAGTACAGGTACTCCTTGGTATATGCAAGTTGGAAACATGTTGACATGCAGTCAATTAATTTAGACCTGTAACACTTGCTTTAGTATGAACTAATTGCTGGCCCATCAAGAGAGGTCAGAAGTATGAGGATTAGGATGCTGTGCAGGTGTGGAGGAGGAATGCAAAGGGAGAAGAGGAAATTTGGCCTGCCTGATGTCATTTATGTCATTGCTTTTGGGAACACAACTAGTGCATGAAATATGTCAGCTGTGGCTGGACTGCAGAAGTGGTTGTTTGAGAAGTAACTGTATAAAATAGAGAACAAAGTTCCATGAAGGTAGCCATTTCTGTTTCAATGAAGTTGCTGTTACGGAAAAGAAATCGGAAGTCATTACTTTCAGCATGCCCTTGTACAAGCGCTGTCACCAGGAGAAGTCAGGTACACTTCCCAATGAAATATCCCACATTAATTGGAAATTTCATAATGTTAATATTTGTTGCTTAACCTCCAGC